ATGGACTGGGACTGAGGGACTAACCTCCATCTCCAGAGGCTCAAAAAGATTATGAACCTCTAAAGGTGTAGGTATAGGAGAAGGCGCCTCCAAGTGCTGGAGTGCCCTGCCTTTCTTCTTCAATTGCTTTTTAGTCTGCTTTGACAAGTGGGCTTCACCTGAAACTGTTTGCATTTTAGTTGATGTTTCTGGTTCTATCAGTTCAGTATTTTTAGGCGTCGCAAGCAAGGTCTCTGTTTGGGAAGCAGATGTTACTTTTGACGGAACTATGGGAGATGTCATGGTTTCATCAAGGGTAATCTGTTCATCCTGAACCCAAGAGATATCGGTTTGTGTAGAGATTGTCGATACTTTCACTACTTGAGTTGGAGAGGACACAGCAGCTGAATACGTCTTGGTTGACGGGGTTTGCAATGGAAGTAACTTTTTGGCCTCAGTGTAAGAAAGGTTGTTTGTGACTTTGATTTTTAATATTTTGGCTTCATGTTCAAATATAGGACAGGATTTAGACGAGGACAAGTGCTTTCCGTCGCAGTTTGCACATTTGATGTCACTTGTGCAGTCTGAACTCTCATGAGTTCCACTGCAACGGAAGCATCTTGTCTTAGCAGTGCAAAATTTAGCTCCGTGGCCGAACTTTTGACACTTATAACATCGGAGTGGATTTGGGACATAAACCTCCACTCCGATGTTAAAGTAACCAGCTTTAATTGATTTAGGAAGAGTTGACATTGCAAAGGTGAAAAGATAAGTTTGTGTGTTGACAATCCTACCATCCTGTGCCTTCTGGTAAATCGTTTAACTGCAGTGACGCCTTGGTTTTGTAACTCAGTTGCTATGTCCTCTTCTGCCATGTCTGACAGACAGCGAGCGCGATCTCTCACAATACCTCTGCAAGAATTCAGTGTCTTGTGCACTGAGACAACAACATTTGTGTTAACAAACTGCTGGAGACCCAGCAGATTACCGGATTGTTGTCTCCGTGCACATTCAACAAGGATGGAGCCAGAACGAAGACGTGTGACATTCTTGACTTCCCCACAGGTACTTTGGATTCCCTTGGAGATGACAAAAGGATTGAGCTTTAAAGGAGAGCCATCAGCGGATGAAATGACGACGAACCTAGGCCAAGAATCGGCCACTTGAGGAGAGACATCTTCATCAGACGAGACAGAATCTGTATGCCTACGCTTGTTTGTTTTTGAAGAACCAGAGTGCAGATTTAGAGACATGTTGTAAGTATAAGTTTCAGCATCCCTGCTCCCCACCCGCCATCGAGTGTCAACAAGGACGGTGCGCAGTGGAAGCCAGTCTACAACACCAGGGATACAGGGATGTTATACGCCAGCAAATATGACTTGAATAGCCATATTTATCTACCAGATATAGTGCCAGGCAGGTTCAGTCCATGACAAGAAACTGGAGACATACAGAATACAGAGGTCAACATCACCAGATTGGCCCATGAGCCAACGCCTTCTGGCGTAAGACTCTAGGCAATTTATTCAATTCAAATTGGAGAATTCATACAAGTAATGCACGGCCAAGTCCAAAATAGACATTAAAATACAGTTGTGCGTGCACCATATTACGCACAGGGCCTGGCATGACCAGCCGATTGATAAGACCGGGCCCATCTTACCACCCGTCTAGGCGAAGTGAGGGTCGAAGTAGTGTGTTGGGCAAAGGAACACAGTTCCAGGAACCAGTGCCCTCAACTACCAGACTCCCGTCCTCCGCCGACACAGGGACGCAACCCACGGCAAACAGGTTGCCCATTGTAGTCGCCTCATACGACCAGCAATGGGAGGCTGTGGAAATATTCTGCCCCGGTTCCACACGGGGGAAGAGCTATTAGCGTTACCCAGCACTCACCACGAGGAGGTTGCTCTTCACGAGTGCCTTGACTTGAGAGACAAACTCTAGATAGTAAACACAGGCTAAGATGCGGGAATAGTTAGCATGCTATTGATTCATATCCACAGCAATGAAGGGAAAAAGCAAGAAACTTAAAGTACCAAGAAGCTATGTTTGCAGCAGCCGCCGTGTCTGAATTCCAGGTGAATAAATAATTTATTCTCGACAAAGCGAACCAGTGGTTGATAGCATGAACCGCGACCCATGCCATCGGGGTGATGTCGCACAAAAGCACAAAATAACACATTGCAGCTATAATGACACAAAAGCTCTCTTAGAACCACTATTTAAACATAGGTTTACAATAGTCGAAGCGTCGAGATCACTTTGTGTAGACGGGCCCTGATCCTCGTTTTAGTCGTCTTGCACGGTTTGGGGGCGATCGGGTAGCCTAGTGGTTAAAGCGTTCGCTCGTCACGCCGAAGACCCGGGTTCCATTCCCGACATGGGTACAATGTGTGAAGCTCATTTCTGGTGTCCCCCGCCATGATAGTGCTGGAATATTGCTAAAAGCGGCGTAAAGCTGACTCACTCACTCACTCACTCACTTTCACGGCTCGCGTGGTGTGTTGGGGTTTATTATACGCCGGGATGCCCTCCGGTGTATCTGTCAGTTATTATTGCCAGGAATATGAGTAACTCTGGCCAACAGGGTGTGCGTTAGAAAAGGCCAGTGAACCGCAGGTTAGTTTAAGCAACAAAAAATACATTAGCGCATTACTTGTCATAACTGCTGCTGAATGTACCGTGATGTGGAAATTATAGTCGTTTGATGTTTATATAGTCGTTTGATGTTGATATAGTCGTTTGAAGTTTTTCCCGTTAAGTAATGTGTCCATTGATGCCGTCGTATTGTTGATAGTCAACTTAGAGACATAAATGGGAAGTTCCATTAATGCGAACAAAGGCCACTCGCACATCGCATTTAGTTCACGTTCGTGTTAATTTCAAGATTTACAGTATATTATTTGATTTATATATATATATATTGATTTAGCTTGGTGTCAATCACTGCATATTCCGATGTAAATGTCATAATTTAAATGTTACGAAATATCCGCAGATAGAATAAAGCTGCTCTCACACTTTGCCTAGGGGGTTGCCGAGCTCTCCCGAGCCTAACTCGATTAGGACTCGGGAAGAGACTACATATACCAGTATCATACGAGTACGCTACGAGTGTGTTACGAGCCCCATAGGAGTCCAATAGGAGTATAATAGGAGTCTAACAGGAGCCTAGTAAGAGTTGCATACGAGCACAACGATCTCGATACGAGCTGTGCGAGTTTTGTACGACTTTGGTAAGAGGTGGCTCATTCGTATAGCTCGTATTAGACTCGGTCAACTCGGCAATTAATTTTGCAGACGATCCTCATACGAGTTCTGTACGAGCACCACGAGGTCGCCACGATGGTACTACAAGTAGGACGAGTGTGTTACGAGTTTGTTAGGTGTTGGCAGGCGGCCCGACTGTTTTGAGCAGTTCCCAAACTCTCGTAGATCAGTACGAGGTATCCCGAGTTACCCCGAGTTTAGTACGACCTCGCTACGAGCTCCATACGAGTACCCCCGAGTCAGCTCGGGGCCATATTCGGGACGCAACTCGGCAAAGTGATAGAGCCCCTCAACGCTTAAATTTTTTTTAGAAAACATCATTTGAACAAAAACAATTTCCATAATCATCTGCTTAAAGCTGACTCCGTTTAGTGATTCCGACTATAGGATAGGTTTGTGTTTATGAAGCACTGGCAAATTGTTATCATACCAGGTGTTTGCGAGAAGGTAAGCGCATCCTGTCCAAATTGGTGGCACCCGTCACAAACACATGCAAAGGTTTACCTGATTTGGTTGGTTGGTTTGTTGTTAAACGCCGCACTCACCAATATCCCAGCTATATGACGGCGGTCTATATATAATCGAGTCTTGACAAGACAATCCAGTGATTAATATCATGAGCATCGATCAACGCAATTGGGACCGATGACATGTATTAACAAAGTCAGCGAGCCTGACCACCCGATCCCGTTAGTCGCCTTTTACGACAAGCATAGAAAACCTTTAACGGCAAGCATGGGTTGCTGAAGACCTATTCCAACCTGGCTCAACACGGGTCAAGGTTCACCTGAACGGACACGGGAACGAATGGTAACCAGTTTGGTTACTGGAGAGTCAACTCCTATAATTGTGAAAACTCCCCGAAGGCCTTGAATAATGTAATAATGTAATGTAAATCGTTGAATTAAGTTAAAATGAGTTAAATTTTGTGTCATGATTTTGTATCAAATACATTTATGTATTTGCGAAACAAAAACATGAGTTTTAAGTATAGGAACATGTTCTCGCCCATGGGCCTACTCTTCGCCCATGGGCCACACTTCCCCATGGGCAGGCCCATGGGCGACATTGTGTAAATATTGATTTTTTGAACATTGTTTTTTCATTTTTTCTTCCTTGGTATGTTCCTATGAAAACAGCAGGTTTAATTTTGTAAATACCTTTGACCGAGACTGGGTAAAGACCGTAGAGTTTCTGGACTATTAGGTTTCCAGAATTAAAATGGGACGTGTTAAACCAAGATCAACAACTGTAGTATGGCGCTCTTTTTAATCTTCGAAGGAAAAGCATGCTCGAGTGTACCTCCGCCAGTGTGGAATGAAGACACCAAAGGCTGGAGCTTTTGGAATATTGCATGGTATAAGGGTAAAGCTGACTTTTGGAAAGTTGAATATAAAAGGTCAACGCCGGATGTGAACCAGTCTCGATTTTCCATGAGTCATCCCTCTTGTCACACAGTCTTGTATACAGTCAGTGTTAGTGTACATGCATGAGTTACGATGGTCGTAGGACCAAGATAGCTTTGTGCAAGTGGACCAAGGTCACAGTGAAAATATCTTTCACCATTGGAACGACCAAATTAGGAAAGAATCAAATGTCTATGCTATTAAGGTAGTTTGTAGACATTGCAATTAGATTTAAACCTGAATTGTTAAACCTATATGCATAACAATTGGTCAGAAGAGCATTCACATGCCGTTGTGAACATCATGCTTTAATCACATGGCTTTACTTACAAGGCTAAACGAGTGTATTTTTAACACGATTAAGATAACACTGAAATAGCGCTCCCATGAGAACGAGGACAGCTGGAGCTGTCTCCTGACTGTGGTCCCGAGGGCACATTGTATTTTCCTGGCAAAAAGAGGTAAGACCGATCATTTTCACCTGGTTAAAAAGACAACTAATGTTGTACATCGTTTTTATTGAATTTGCAACTCAAGATTACTTATATCATGTAGTACATGATGTACGTAATTCTAATTATCAATCCCTCTGAACTTGATGACACGTTTATAGATAATAACTTCCTTGCTAATTGTATTGAAGACGTTCTTTTCAATAAAAGTTTCATGTCTTCAAAATCGTATTTAAATTCTGTTTGTATTGTCCAACTGATAGCTGTTTTGTATACTTTTTTTCTTCTTTTCAAAAAGGAGCATCAATTGACGTAAACTGAACGGAAATTTTATCGATCATCAGAAACAAAAAAACTGAAATGTGTGTAGAAATCCCATAATCAAATTATTTGCTCTCTCTGGTTGGTTAGTGTTGTCCCATATTGTATTGGCATAATCGACATTGTTTTTCAGCATGTTAGTTGTCAGTTTGTTGATAGGAGAGTACCCTTAATGTATATGTTCTTCGTGTATGCAACAACAACATCATGCCAACAATATAAAAAAACAAATACATGTGTTTAAATCAATAATGTATGTAAAATACAATAAAGGGACACCACTGCGTTGCTTGTACAGATTAGTGTTATCCTTTGAGATTTCCTTTTTACACATTTTCTTTTTTTAAATCATGTTAGGGATCGATGTAAACATTAACAAGAATCTCATAGGGGATTAACCATCCTGCCGGCAACAAACAAGATTGTACTAAGATACTTGATATTAACCAGTCTTGTCGTAAAAGGCGCCTAACGGGATCGGGTGGTCAGGCTCGCTGACTTGGTTAATGCATGTCATCGTATCCCAATTACGTGGATCGATGTTCATGATATCAATCACTAAATTGTCTGGTCCAGTCTTGATAATTTACAGACCGCCGTGATATAGCTATAATATTGCTGAGTGCGGCTTTAAACAACAAACAAACAAACAAAACCTAATATTAGTCAGCACAGGCACTCCATTAGGTCAGCAGTTCCATAAACGTATAAAAGTAAAAATTAAAAGTATCTTTTAAAAAACCGCCACAGTGGGTTTTTGATTATAGACACGAACACAGGTACTCATCCTCGATTAACAGGGGTATTATACTTTCATTCGACTGTGCTAACACCATGGGGCTATTCGACACTGCTTCGTTTATAGCGCTATTTCAATGAGTAGAGGCTGACAACACCCACCCACCCAATCACTCATGAACTCATCCTAAATCAGCGATAATATAGAATGTAGATGGCGACGTCATTCAGATACGGGGGGCACGGGTGGCCAAGTCGTCTAAGCCGCCGCGATTCGCTGTGCAGAGTTGCGTCCCTTGGGCACGCAAGAAACTTATGATTGTGGGTTCGAATCCCGATACGCCCCGATTATGTTTCTAGGTTTGTCAGCACCATACCCGTGCTCGTGGGTTTCATCGAAGTGGTAAACGTCTTAGACCTGCATCATTTCGGGCTTTCCTCCCACATCAAGCTGACCCGCCGCGATATAACTGGAATACTGTTAGACGCGGCATTAAACCCAACTTACTCACTCACTCACTCATTCCGATACGAAGCGTTGGTAGCGAATGGGTCCTGGATATTTATCATAATGGAATGGATACATTATGAACCAATTTAAGTAGGTATATGTTTATGATGATAAAGTTATGTGTCTGTATCAAATATGATAATAATGTTTATCAGATGATGGATTCTGGTGTTGATGATGGATCGATATACATGTACCAATCGATAAACTGCATTTAGTCAGATCGATTCTCTGCCTCCCGACGTCGATCGACATGTTATTGTTTATGTGAAGATGGCTGCAAATTAATTGGCAGCATAAAGTAAACGACGTTTATAACAAACACGCTTATTATGAACCGACCGATATAACGAACCTAATTTTAGCCCCGGCTGTTTCGTGTATACTAATATAATCTGTATATATGCTTATAACGAACTATGGTTATTACGAACTAAAATTAGTGGTCCCTTTGTGTTCGTTATAAACGTTGTTTACAGTAGTGAGTTAGTTATGTTAATGAATGAAAATATGTTCAAACCTAGATTATTTTATTAATAACATATGGCAAACAGATTATTACACTCACGTGCCTCCGTATCATAAATATTATATATTAGGAATAAAATACATGCATTATGATCGACAACTGCTTAAATAATACATTAATATTTACGATAGGAAACACTCTCGGCTAATCTTTTTATGTATTTTTTATATTTCACATTAGGTACCTGTATTTTACAACATACCCGACAGGACCACGTGGCTGACCTCATGATCACGGTTCGTAGTAGTCCAGACATAGACATGGCTTGGGCAGAGCTTCTCATATTCGCTCTGTCATTACTTGGTCCATTTTCTGATGAGTGTTAATAATTTGTACATGGAACTCTAGTTTATTGACAATATTTGTACTCATATATTTGTTCACACTTTGAAACGTTTGGGCCCTCTGCGAACATTAGCTAGTCTTTAGCCATCGTAGTACCCAACTCCGCCCTTATTTTGTCTAGAACAGTCCTCCTTTAATTAGAAGTTTCGCCATTTAGAAATGAATCTGAAATTGTTTCATGACATTCAAAATATATGTTGTAAGTCATCCGATGGCATGCGCACTTTTGTTTTCTTGACAATAACATCAAGCTTCGCCCACACTTCATAATCATTGATGGTAGTGAGCCAAACTGTTTTTCGAATTATTATATTAAGCCCTTGAAGTACGTGTCATGTCATGTAATCTAGTCTTCACATGGGTATAATCTGTCAATCACATTCCTGGAGTGATATTGCTAGAATGTTCATAAAACCGGCTCCAAAGAGCCACTCACTCTTTGTTTCTTTCAGACCGAACGGTCCGGAATGTTGGCCATCTTCTTACTGGGGGCCTGCATTGGGTCCTCCTTGTCCTCGATCGTTCCTGTAACCATTGGCAACCATTGGAGCGGAGGTTTCCAGGGAAACTTTTGTATGCCTTTTACCATTGACGTCACTTCCTGGAAAGCACACTTACAATTCGACCAGCCTACTACATCCTTGGAGGTATGGTCTTTGAGTGATTGAGGTTTAATGTCGTTTTGAACAGCTCACTGTGGTAGGAACATGTCTTCAACGTTTTCGACTTAGATGCTAATCCAACGAGCTAATCCAGGAGCTGACAAATCTTCAAAAAAATTATTAGGGCGAAGCTAGGATTCGAACCCAGGATCTTGGGTTTCTGGTGCGCAGATAAGTTGTGATGGATCTTCGTCACACGTCCAGATGGGCCACCATGGGTATCTCATTGATTGGACTGGAACTATGAAACCGAAATAAGTCCATATAGAGCACGTCGCTATCATGAATAATTTTGAACGCGATGTTGAACCCCATTGAACCAATACTATTTCAGTCAATCCGTCCACGAATACACTAGTCATGCTAGAGAATAATCTGTCACACTCAGACCTGGTTATTTCAGAGTAGACGTGGAACTGGAATATTGCTTACTGTGGTGTTAGCTGTATGTCCTTACTATAATAATTCAACTAATACACCAGGTAAAATGATTGTTGTCTCCTGTGATCTCTGACCAAGTTATGCATCACGAACTCTGATTTGCCTGTGGGGGCTCGGATGGCCCAGTCGTCTCAGGCCCCGCGATTCGCTGTGCAGAGTTGCGTCCCTTATGCACACCAGAAACCTATGATTGTGGGTTCGAATCCCGGTTCGCCCCGATAATGTTTCTAGGTTTGTCAGCACCATACCCGTGTTCGTCTGAGACCTGCATCACTTCGGTCTTTCCTCCAAATTTAAGCTGACACCCCGTGATAATACTGGAATACTGTTTAAAAGCGGCGTTAAATTCAACTCACCCACTCACTCACTCAAAATAAGCTGAAAAATGACCCCACTTGCATTTGTAGGATTAAATGTTGAAATTGAATATCAAAGCGATGCATAAACGTCGAAAATTAGACACCAACATCCAAAAGGTACGTCGCGATATAACTGGAATACTGTTAAAAGCGGGGTTAAATCCAACTCACCCACTCACTCTGATTTGCCTGTAGATCTGGCTGGCGGACATAGAGTCCCAGACCTCTGATGGCCGGGAATACGTCCTGGTCAACAAGCCCTTCAATGGGGCCGAACACCCCGGGGACAAACTCTGTGTGACCTTCCTTGGTCACGGCACCGGCGACATCACTCCTACTGCCAACGTCGTCATCGAGAACATGCCCGACCCCACCACGCCTATACCTACCAGTCCACCTACGACCACGCCCACCACACCCTCCACCACGGTCACATTCCCTCCTGGATACAGTGAGTTGAGATGTCCCTACAGTCAAACCTCCTTCAAACTTATTGACATCGGGGGGCGGTCGGGTAGCCTAGTGGTTAAAGCGTTCGCTCGTCACGCCGAAGACCCGGGTTCGGTCACTGACACGGGTACACTGTGTGAAGCACATTTCTGGTGCCCCCCGCCGTGATATTGCTGGAATATTGCTAAAAGCGGCGTAAACAGTAGTCACTAACTCATTAACATCGGATCTTTTATTCCACTACGAGACTTCTTTGAAGATCTGAGAAGCCCTCAATAGGACGCACAGGAGAACCCTGAGTGAAGTTACAATCCCAGTCTATATGTCTGCATCCTTGAGTCAATTGTCAGCTTTCTGAATGATGCAGCTTCATTTCTTTAGCACATGGATTGAAAAGTCGATTTTAATAATGGACCCAAAACAAAGAAGACAATTGTACTCCCTTCTTGGTGTAGAGGGGGCACGGTTGGCCCAGTCGTCTAAGGCGCCGCGATTCGCTGTGCAGAGTGGCGTCGCTTGAGCACGCCAGAAACCTATAATTGTGGGTTCGAATCCCGGTTCGCCCCGATTATGTTTCTAGGTTTGTCAGCACCATACCCGTGCTCGTGGGTTTCACCGAAGTGATAAACGTATGAGACCTGCATCACTCCGGGCTTTCCTCCCACATTAAGCTGACACGCCGCGATATTACTGGAATACTGTTAAAAGCGGCGTTAAACCCAACTCACTCACTCACTCACTCATTCTTGGTGTAGAAGACCGCCTCCGTGGTCTAGTGGTAGAGCGTCCGCCCGGAGAGCGGAAGGCCCGGGGTTTGATCCGCGTCATACCAAAAGACGTTAAAAGATGGTACTTGTTGTTACCCTGTCTGGCGCTCGGCATTAAGAGGCTAAAACAAGGACTGGTCGGCTCGGAGTCAGTATACTGTGTCTGCGTGGGGCATTCATGTTAAACTGCGGCATGGTATCTCAGTGAGCTAGCACTATAAATCGGCATCAGTCCGGACAAGTACAAACAGCCACACACACACACACACACGTGTATGCACGTTGCTATATAAGTGCAATAATCTTGGACGCGACGTTAAACCCAATTTCACCTCACCTTGGTGTAGATGCGCACACAAACGGCAGGATCTTATGAAATAGATCACCATAAAAGCACGGCCTATATTATGACCATTCAGAATTGGCCGTTTACGTTTGCTTTCGAGAAGTCCGACATGCTGATCTTAACGCTTCTCTCGCTCGCTCATTTGTACAGAGACTTTTGAAGCCTCAATGTTGATTACAAGTTCCACTGAGGTGACATATTGAGGGTTTGTTAGATCTTCAAGCAGAGGTATGGTTAGGGAGTACTAGATTTGATTTTATGAGAAGGAACGTTATTCCTGCCCTATTAATCGAGAAAGCATGTCCTGCTTGGAAGGCTTGCATATGGTCGTAGTGCTATAGCCTCGTACCCATGGTTCGGGACACTCGTTCATCCGGAGGTTATCACAGGACCGTCCGGATTAACAGAGTTCTGCTGTATACTCAGCTCCGAATACAGAGTTTGAGGACGAACTGTAACAAGGGCCCTTTGGACCCGCTAGAACTGCAAAAATGTAAAGAAAGTGTTTGAACCTGGTGAATGTGTTACACAAGTTTTCAGGCGAGTTGGGGCAATCGAGAAGTAGCATTTGCCGGAGCGAACCCTCGACGGGTGACCCTAAAAAGGTTAGGGGGCACGGGTGGCCAAGTCGTCTAAGGCGCCGCGATTCACTGGGCAGAGTTGCGTCCCCTGGGCACGCCAGAAACCTATGGTTGTTGGTTCGAATCCCGGTTCGCCCCAATTATGTTTCTAGGTTTGTCAGCACCATACCCGTGCTTGTGGGTTTCACCGAAGTGGTAAACGTCTGAGACCTGCATCACTTCGGGCTTTCTTCCCACATTCAGCTAACACGCCGTGATCTAACTGGAATACTGTTAAAATCGGCCTTAAACCCAACTCACTCACTCACTAAAAAGGTTATGTGTTTTTTTCATTGCAGCTGGCACCCGAACTCCCCCTACGACAGAAGGTACCACACAAACAACCCAGGAAGGCTTTAACTTAGGTAGGCCTTCCAATTCTATGACAAAAATGATACCTAATTCAATTCCTTATTTTGACTTGCATCGTAGTTTCCGTGTATTTTGTCAGGTGAACAAATGACCATGTGACGGTTGGAGCAGGATATACGATCACATGTTCGCGAACACCTGCTATCTTCACTATATGATAGTGATTCATAAACACTTCCTTATCACAGAGTCAGAATCCTGCAGTGCACTTTTAGCAGAACAGTCTTGTGATAATGATGATGTAAATGTGTGCTGGTCGCTCTGTACACAGAAAGGCTCTTCTCGGACCTTCAGTGACAAGTTGACAGCCCCGTGTTCTGGTCGCTATGTACACTGAAAGGCTATTCGCGGACCTTCAGTGACAATTTGACAGCCCCGTGTTCTGGTCGCCCTGTACACTGAAAGGCTATTCACGGACCTTCAGTGACAAGTTGATAGCCCCGTGTTCTCGTCGCTATGTACACTCGAAGGCTATTCGTGGACCTTCAGCGACAAGTTGACAGCCCCGTGTGCTGGTCACCATATACAGTGAAAGGCTATTCGTGGACCTTCAGTGACAAGTTGACAGCCCCGTGTTCTGGTCGCCCTGTACACTGAAAGGCTATTCACGGACCTTCAGTGACAAGTTGATAGCCCCGTGTTCTCGTCGCTATGAACACTGAAAGGCTCTTCCCGGACCTTCAGTCACAAGTTAACAGCCCCGTGTGCTGGTCACCATATACAGTGAAAGGCTGTTCGTGGACCTTCAGTGTGCCGGTCACAATGTGCACTGGACAGTTATTCGTGGAACATGAATATTTGGCTGTGATAGAGAATGTATGACATTTATGTAGGACTGTTTGGGAGGACAACTGTAGTTTTATATTCAGATAAAATATTGCTACTTATATAACAGAAGGTTATGTAATACACCTGTTGAACTAGGACTTTCATTTTACCCTGAATGCAATGCGACACTTTCAAGCTGTAATCTCCCTAATGTCTGAGTAATTGTCATTAGTGAAATGCATTCATATACCAACAGGTTCAAGTTACCCTAATGCAATTGCCAGGGTCCCGAAGGTATACGAACACTTAAGTTCTGCTTGTGTTTTCATGTTTACCATCAGGTGAGAGTCTTCATCGACAACATAAATATTTTAATCTCCTCTCCTTTCAATGTACAATAGTTGTCGTAAACCATTGTTCAAGCGTTCGTATTGTCCTTTATACTTCGTTTTCTTGCGTTCTAACATTCGAAGACAGAGTAAAAAGTTCAGTTAACCACGTCACTGCAGCGGCTGTCAACACTGTGGTGAACGTCTTCCATCCGCGTCACTGCGGCGACTTTCAACACCGTGGTGAACGTCTTCCACCCACATCACTGCAGCGGCTTTCAACACCGTGGTGAACGTCTTCCACCCACGTCACTGCGGCGGCTTTCAAGACCGTGGTAAACGTCTTCCTCCCACATCACTGCGGCGACTTTCAACACCCTGGTGAACGTCTTCCACACACGTCACTGCGGCGGCTTTCAACACCGTGGTGAACGTCTTCCACCCACGTCACTGTCGCGGCGTTCAATACCGTGGTGAACATCTACGACCTACGTCACTGCTGACTTTCCTCCCAAAATTTAGCTGATATGCCGCGATACAGTTGAAAAGTGTGCACAGTGATCCTCAACTCACACCGGCGAATATACAATATTTAGCTTTTAGAACATCTGTCAGTCTGTTTTTCCTTGGGCGGTTAGGTAGCCTGTTGGATCACGCGTTGGCTCGCCTCTCAACAGATCCGACTTCGATTCCACACAAGGGTACAATGTGTGATATGTGTGATTCTCACGCACTAACTCGATCACTCGGTCACTTACTCACCAACCTATCCTCCCACCCACCCAACAACTCATTCATTCACTCACTCAAAATCCACGCACGCACGCACGCACGCATGCACGCACGCACGCACGCACGCACGCACGCACGCACGCACGCACGCACGCACGCACGCACGCACTCACTCGCTCACTCACTCTTTGTTTCAGTGACTGCGCCGGCAGGGGGAGAGGCAATCAAGGCCGACATGAAGGTAGCCAATGATTGGGGGAACAGGTTCGAGGCCGAGTTTGACTTCCCCCTGACCCAGGATGTGGAGGGTTGGGAGGCTGTCGTCACGTTCAACCTACCAATCACCAAGCTGGACGTAAGCTGGTCATTCCACTTAGTTCGTATCTTGTTTGCTGTTCAACGCCGCACTCAGCAATATCCCAGCTATATGACGGCTGTGTGAAAATAATCGAGCCTGGACCAGACAGTCTTGTATTTGACATCATGAATATCGATGTACGCAATTGGGATACGAGAACATGCATCAACCAAGTCAGCGAGCCTGCCCACCCGATCCCGTTAGTGGCCTCTTATGGCAAGCATAGTCGCCTCTTAATTTAGCTACGCCTGGATTATGCAAGATGTTGGAAATGTTTATCTTTTTATGTCTCAGTTTAAGCAACGTGTTTGCGATTACAACATCCAACGATGGCATTCATCAATATCATCAAAGCCAAAGCTAATGGCATATTCAACCTACAAATCAGTTTTACAGACCGAAGTATATCTTACACAAGTCGACTCTACACTATTGAAACAAGCGCTGTCAAGATTTAGATGTGGCTGTCTCGGTTGATCGAAATGGGCAGACGCAATGGCATCGATCCAGAATGTCGCTTGTGTAGATATTGTCTTCGATTAAATATTCGTCTCGTGGAAAATTACATTTTGCACTTGTATGTCGTGCTTTTAATGATTTAAGATATCGATACATTGATCCTAAAAACTTTGTAAATCCGTCACTGGAATCCTTTTACGACAAGCATGGGTTGCTGAAGACCTGTTCTTTAACCTGCATCTTCATGGGTAGTTCGAATCTCATGAATAAACAAATAAATCAAGCATTGCAAAACATTGTATGGCCGTGTCATCACGTTTCCATTGATTTCTATCTTCCTAATATCGATACATCGCTCTCATCGCAATCCGTAAAGGCAAAACATATCATTTTATCATTCAGTTGAAACATATGACCAAATGCTGCGGCGCCTTTGTTGATCATATCAAAATAATCCCATTGACTTCTCCCTGTATGTGTCCATCATAATAATTTTACAATATGGTAATGTATTTACATGATAATATTATTTATCATATAATGGTTAGGTTTCTCGGCAGGATAAAGCCAACGGATAAAAACGATATCCGTTGGGGTCATATGCGGATAGAGATGCAAATATCAAAGGTCAAGTTGGGACTACTTTCACTGTTTATAAACAAACATGGCGTAGTCCTTGTCATTCGGCGATCGAGTCAGAATTAACCATCGGGAATGTGGAGATAATTGTTATCATTATGAAAAGAATAGTCTAATATACTGAAAATCAGTGTCTTGGCAACTTTGGAGATATAATTTGCGAAACAATTTAGCGAGGGCACTAGCCAAGCAGGATCACTTGCATATCTGTTCTTGTAGACCTGTGCGGCTTGGAACCTTTTCTATAAATTGAAACAGTTGGGTTTGGCCGAATTGTTATCTTGTTCGTTTTGTCACTGTGTGTACATTTGACTGCACTTCTAACGTTATGACAAAACAGGCCGACTGTCAACAAGGTCTGAACGTGACCGTGACGTCTCAGAGACTAGGGTTAGAGTAGCTTCCCTTTGACAAAGGGCAGTTGCTCTAGCGGACAGACTGATGGATTGCCGCGAAAGGCAATTAAATAAAATTGTTGTTTTGCGTATATGTTGCTTCGCCACTGTATAAGAAACAGATTCCAGTTTCTTATATAGGAACTTTATTGGCTACTGTCACTTTCCGACTGACATATCACTAACCCTGTGACGTAATAAATATTAATGAGCGCATTCCAGGAAAACTCGCAATGTTTCGCTAATGTTTGTGAGAGAGGGAAAGCGATTTTGAAGCACAGAATTAAAGAAAGATATAAAATGATAAAGAGGTTATCACGCTTGTGTGTTTGGGGATGGTAAATATCCTGTATTAGGAATAAACACAATGTATTTAGCTCGCCAAGGCTCGCTAAATACAATGTTTATTCCTAATGCAGGATATTTACCATCCCCAAACACAAAAGTGATGATGGATGATAAATAAAATCTCACCCTCGTGTCTTTTGATATCAAATAAATCAACATGATTTTTTCCACTTTTATCAACGAGTGTTGATATATTTGATGTAAAAGGACACGAGGGTGAGATTTTATTTATCATCCATCATCACTTTTCATTTTGTAGACAGTAATAAGAAGTGTCTTAAGTATAAAAAGTACTGCTAACATTTTCCGTAGCAGAACCATTGGTTAAGTCATTTGATCTTAACGTCATGGTAACAATGACGTCACAATGGTCTGCAAAGCATTGTGATGGAGTTTCAATACAGCGATATCTACAATCACCCAAGTGATATCTCCTGTAGGAGCCAGCTTTTGATAATAATTTGAAATGTTAGATTTTATATCATGTCTTCGTGGTCACTTTTTAAGGCTAGCGGGAATACAACAAACATTCTCCAATCTCGAAATATCTGCTGGACGGTTGTGTAGCCTAGTGGTGAGAGTGTTCGCTCATCAATTACGGGACAGTGTTTGATTCCCTTTATGGATACAACCACTAAAACCCTTCTTGGTGCCGCACGTCAGAAAGACTAACTTGATATCCAGCGATCTAAATGTTTTGCCATCCTACATCTGTACGTCGATTGTATGGTCATTGGCAAGAGTGCTGAAAACGGTGTAATATCTCTCCAGAACAAAACAAAATGTGCATTTGAGTCGAACCGGCTTTTGAATGACGGGCGAACACCTAACCCACAAGGCAACCCAGAGCACAATAAAAAGCAGGATTCATTTGTTATTAATATCCAATGCATTTGTCGATATATTCTATAGTATATTGATCGAAACTTCCCGTTGTTCTGACTGTCAATCTTTGCTCCAAGACGTTACAAGATACTTGTTGTTACCCTGCCTTTCGCTCGACATTTAAGGGCTCCAACAAGGACTGGTTCTATCTAGTTATTACATCCCTGGCCTAGTCATACCAAAATACGTTAAAATATAGTACTTGTTGTTACCATGTCTGGCGCTCGACATTTAGGGGCTAAAACAAGGTCTGGTCGGCTCGGCGTCAGTGTACTGTGTCTGAAAGGGTATTCATGTTAAACTGCGGCATGGTATCTCCGTGGGCTAGCATTATAAAAGCGGCATTAGTCGGGACCCACCCAACCACACGTGCATGCACGTCGCTATACAAATGCAGTAATCTAGGACGCGACGTTAAACCCCATTTCACCTCACCTCACCTCACCTCACCTCACCTCACCTCACCTCACCTCACCTCACCTCACCTCACCTCACCCCATTTCACCTCACCTCTCTGCTCCAGCTCCAACATGCTCGAGTCTTCAAACAGTCAGCTGACGGGAAGACGTGGGTCCTCATCAATATGATGGACAGCGAGTTCTACGACAAGGGGACAACGCTCAAACTCCGCTTCTTCGGGAACCATCAGGGCTCGGACAAGGTCACCGGCTCGGCCACGTTCTTCAACATGGGGGTCGACAAGAACGGCGTCGCCAAGAGAAGGAACAGTGAGTGCTTAGTCTAGGCAGCACCATCGCGTTACCTGGAGACCACCCCCGTGGTTTAGTTGATAAACACCATGACTGCCGAGAAAGTCATACACCTTACGCCCCATGAACATCCGGGTTAGAATCGGTCTTCAGTAACCCATGCTTGTCGTAAGAGTTGATTGTGCTTGTCGTGAAGATCCGGGTCAGAATACGTTTCAGCAACCAATGCTTGTCGTAAAAGGCAACGGGATCGGGAGGTCAGGCTCGCTGACGTGGTTGATGCATGTCATCGTATCCCAATTGCGTGGATGACATCAATCACTGGCTTGTGTGGTCCATACTTGATTATTTACAGACCGCCGTCACATAGCTGTAATATTGCTGAGTGCGGCGTTAAACAACAAACAAACAATCTACACACTACACGCATGGGCTAGGCGTGACGCAACACCGTATACACCCTGGGGATTTGCATGGAACCCGACCGTTAAGTGTGTGCAATCCGTTTGCAACCCGTCCCAAACAATAGGTGGAGCACCAGGGCCCATACGTGTCCCATGTGTTCTCAATTAATTGGCAATTACAGTGAAACGTACCAGTGCAAGCAAATATATTAGTAATTATTGGGATAGGAGAGGTGAAATGCGTTTTATTGCACTCAAATAGCGACGTGCATGTGTGTGCGTGCGTGCGTGTGCGCGCGTGTGTGTGTTTGGGCTTATACTAGTACGGACTGATGCCGATTTAAAGTGCTAGCCTACTGAGATATCATGCCCCTTTTTAACATGAATTCCCCACTCGGACACAGTATACTGACTCCGAGCCGACTAGTCCTTGTTTAAAAACCCTTAATGCCGAGCGCCAGACAAGAACCATCTTTTTACGTCTCACGCGGCCGGGGATCGACTTTACGATAGTCGGGTGGTCAGGCTCGGTAACTTGGTTGATGCATGTCATCATATCCCAATTGCGTGGATCGGTGCCCATGATCACTGGATTGTCCTTTCCCTGTTACTGCAGCCGACGGCACCAAATATAACTACGACGACGTCTTGTACAAGTCCATCCTGTTCTACGAGGCTCAGAGATCCGGGAAACTCCCAGCGTCCAACAGGATCCCCTGGAGAGGGGACTCCGCCCTCGGGGACAAGGGGGCTAACGGGGAGGATCTCACCGGAGGATGGTATGACGGTGAGTTGGACTGTACAATGGGGGTAGGGATGGGTTGGCATTGGGGTGAGGTGAGAGGTGACTTCACCATGGATGTCAAGGGGGCTAACGGGGAGGACCTCACTGGAGGATGGTATGACGGTGAGTTGGACTGTTCAGTCGGGGTAGGGATGGGTTGGCAGTGGGGTGAGAGGAGACTTCATCTTGGGTGACAAGGGGACTAAGGGATAAGATCTCACTGGGGGATGGTATGACGGTGAGTTGGACTGTACAATGGGGTAGGGATGGGTTTGAAGTTAGTGAGGAGTGGGGATGAGGGGAGACGTCATCCTGGTGACAAGGGGGCTAAGGGAGAAGATCTCACTGGAGGATGGATGGGAGTTGGACTTACAGTGGGGTTAGGGTTTGGTGGCGATGGGGTGAGATTAAGGGGAGACTTCAGTCTGGATGATAAAGAGGCCAAGTGGGAACTTCTCACCGGAGGGTTGTGTGACTGGGACTTGCAGAGGGGGTGGAGATGAATGGGCGAGGTAGACGCTGTCCTTGTGACAAAGGGTCTAGGCTGGAGGATGGTATAACGAAGAATGGGATTGTTCAGTAAAGGGAGAAGGGTGATACGAGACCCAGTCCTGGGTAACAAGGGGCCATGGAGAGACATCACTTCCAGTGTGCCAGTGAGTTGGTCTGTAAGAAGGGGGATGGAGGGACTGAGTTAGAGGCTGTCTCCTTGGAGACAGCACCCTAGGGTGAAGTGAGGTATGTCTGAAGGGTGGTGGCGAGTACAACATCAGTGGGGCTGTATCATGACGAAACACTACCGCCGTCTGACGGTGAGGTGTCGAACTGCAACAACAAGAGTGAGTGATTATGTGAGTATGGTTTTACGCCGCTTTTAGCAATATTCTAGCAATATCACGGCGGGGGACACCAGAAATGGGCTTCACACATTGTACCCATGTCGGGAATCGAACCCGGGTCTTCGGCGTGACGAGCGAACGCTTTAACCACTAGGCTACCCGACCGCCCCTTGCAACAACAAGAAACAACTGGGTTCTACTTTATGCGTTCAATTATGTATCAGGGCAAAGACCCTCTCGTATCAAGCGACCTCAGTCGTTGAATATGCATTCCTCAGAGACCATTTACATAAGGGACTGATAATTCATTTTAGAGGTGGTTTGGGGCAATAAGATTCGTCTTACGATTGTTTCAAAGTTTTGAGCGAGAGTGCGAATATAGTATTACGCCTTTGTTAGCAATATTCCAGCAATATCACGGCGGGGGACACCGGAAAGTGGGCTTCACACATTGTACCCATGTGGGGAATCAATCTAACCCGGGCTGTCGGCGTGACGAGCGAACGCTTTAATCAATAGGCTACCCCACGGATCCTTCAAAGACCCTCGTGCATGTAACATTTTCCATTTGCCCCCCCCTATACTACCTAAGTAATGTTCAAATAATGTTCAACTTACATTTTTGAAAATATAGAACAGTATCATATTTTAAGACACCCCCCCCCCCCCCCCCCCCCTAAATCCCCCCCCCCCCCCCCCCCTCCCCCTTTATCTAAACCGGCTCCACCCTCATACGATATGGAAACAAAGCATCAGCTTTCCTGTGGAAGTCATTAACATCCGGTGGAATCTGGAAATGTTTTCAAAGTTATTATAAACAGTTATAACTGTCAAAAACGATAGCTTCTGAGAAAAAAGTCTTGGATAATCAAATTAGATAAAGACAGTCCTATCACATTTGTCCCCGAGGGCTCTCCCTTTAAATGTTGCATGTCGTTGGCAGCTGGTGACCACGTGAAGTTCAACTTCCCCATGGCGTACAGCACGACCATCCTGACCTGGAGTCTGATACACTGGCGAGATGCATACGAGGCGTCCGGCCAGCTGGACAATATGTACGACTGCATCAAGTGGCCCCTGGACTACCTCCTTAAGTGCCACACAGGCAAGGACGAGCTGTATGTGCAGGTAGGAGGCTTGAGCTGGTTATGTTTTAAGTTTGTTTTGTTTGTTTGTTTGTTTGTTTGTTGTTTAACGCCGCACTCAGCAATATTCAAGCTGTATGACGACGGACATACAGCTGTGTTACACATTGTGTATTACCAAAAGGCGTGCTTATGTACTCTCAGAACACGTTTCACGAACACATATTGAAAGCTCTCAACATCCCTTGGCTTATTCAACTACATTGCGTGTGGAGATGATAGATCACTGAGAGGAGCTTATGCACACTCGATGACCCCTGGGACTCGTTCCACAAAGCTATCGTTGCGCTACGACAGTCGTAAGTCTATGTTAAGGTATGGGAGTTACGATCGTCTTATCGCTTTGTGGAACGTGGCCCAGTAATCTTGTTGCTAGACTGACGTCACATGGCATTGTTTCGCCAATGGATCTTGCAACAAAATACCACATATTATTGTGACGTGATTGTAAACTTTGAGGTGCAAGGCCCCGTTCCGCGAGGAGATTGAACTGTAGAGCAACGACAGTCGTTAGTGTAAGTTAAAGTGTGTGAGTTGCGATAACCTTAGCGCTTCGATAATTTTGTGGAACACACGTCTGAATTCTAAAGGTGGACCGTTGTATGGTATTAAATTCATACGTTTCAACTTTTGACGTGTTTGAAGTATTATTCTGTTAAACTCAATTGGATATTGCCGTGGATCATGTAGGTGTCAGCCTATTCACACTCAACAGTATAATTCTAAAAACGTTATAAATGGGAAGTAATAAATATAATACTAAACTCGCTCCCGTGTTAATGCATTTTATGAAATTAGTGAATAGTTGTGGCCTTCGCTCGTCATATACCACAACTATTAAGGAGTTTCATAAAATAGGTTTTACACGGGAGCTGTTTACCATTCCATATGTGGATATCGCTGCAATGAAATTGCATCACAATGCTTTGCAGACCAGTGTGACGTCATTGGGCACGGGTGGCACAGTCGTCTAAGGCGCCGCGATTCGCTCTGCAGAGTTGCGTCCCTTGGACACGCCAGAAACCTATAATTGTGTTCGAATCCCGGTTCGCCCCGATTATGTATAGGTTGGTCAGCACCATACCCGTGCTCGTGGGTTTCACCGAAGTGGTAAACGTCTGAAACCTGCATCACTTCGGGCTTTCCTCCCACATTAATCTGACACGCCGTGATATAACTGGAATAATGTTAAAAGCGGCGTTAAACCCAACTTACTCACTCACCCTGGCGTTTCAACATGAGTCTAAGACCTGGAGTGTGGTATAAAAACCTAAAATAAACCTATAACGATATGTCTGCATGGTACACATGTGAATACATGTGAAAAACATAGTCATGGGTTCGTAAGGTGCTGATGCGGCATAAATCAAATCACTCACTCTTTTCTCCCTTGTCTTCAGGTAGGCGATGGCAACACCGACCATAACTTCTGGGGAAGGCCAGAAGACATGACCATGGCCAGACCATCCTACAAGATCGATGCCAGCAAACCCGGAAGTGACGTAGCTGGGGAAACCGCTGCCGCAATGGCCGCTGGATCCATCGCCTTCGAGACTAAAGGTCAGTTTGAAGAATGCCCACTGCAATGACACCATGTGGCATCAGCCAACACGGGAGGATTTCAGGTTGATGCGCAGACTGGAGGACTGTTTTCAGTAATTAAATCTTAATTCAGTTCCCCTAATGTCTGTATGGGTCCTCGCTAATCGACACAGACAACACCTAACAAGAGAACGAATACACCTGTTTCGTTTCTGCCTTAGTACAAATGGGTTGATGAAGTGATTGGTCTGAAACCGACACGTGAAGATCCGGGTTAGAATAGGTCTTCAGCAACCCATGCTTGTCTCCCCGTGAAGATCCGGGGTAGAATAGGTCTTCAGCAACCCATGCTTGTCGTAAATGGCCACTATGCTTGTCGTAAGAGGCGACTGACGGTATCGGGTGGCCAGGCTCGCTGACCTGGTTGATGCATGTTACCGAATACCAATCGTGTAGATCGATCCTCACGATGTCAATCACTGGATTGTCTGGTCCAGTCTCGATTATTTACAGACCGCCGTCATATAGCTGGAATATTGCGGGAGTGCAGTTGCAAACGACAAGTGAGTGAGTTTGGTTTGACGCTGCTTTTAGCAATATTCCAGCAATATCACGGCGGGGGACACCAGAAATTGACTTCACACATTGTACCCATGTCGGGATTCGAACCCGGGTCTTCGGCGTGACGAGCAATCGCTTTAACGACTAGGCTACCCGAACGCCCCTGGTTGATGCATGTTACCGAATACCAATTGTATAGATCGATCCTCATGATGTCAATCACTGGATTGTCTGGTCCAGTCTCGATTATTTACAGACCGCCGTCATCTAGCTGGAATATTGTCGGAGTGCAGTTCCAAACAATAAACACACAATATCCGCTTATAACAAACTGATCATGACGGATATGACGAACTTATATTTTGGTCCCGATCATTTCCTGTATATATGTTGCATATATGTTTTTAAAGACCTACGGTTATAACGAAACAAAGTGAGTGTCCCCTTTGAGTTTTCTGTATGGTCTGAAGCCTGCCATTCTCTCCGCAGACCCCGCCTACTCCCAGAAGTTGCTGAGTCATGCCACGGATCTGTACAACTTCGCCATGAAACACAAGGGGAAGTACAGCTCCAGTGTAGGGGCGGCCTCAAGCTTCTACCCGTAAGTATACCCTGAGTATTTCCTGAATACAGGGATTGGATAAGGGGGGGGGGGGGATACCCTGGAAATACCCATTACATGTTCTTCACCAATTCTCAAGTATCCGACTCTGGAACATATACGTTCACTGCCAATGGCCAATCTACTTCAGCCCAGTTGACGGTTACAGGTAATCCTTTTTATTCCTGTTACTTTTTAGTACAAAAATGTCTGAGGATAGTTGTTTACTAATGAGAATATGCTCCATTTGAATTTAGTTGTAAATAGTTGATCTCATGATATATCACGCATACATTTGGCAACTGATCACAACTTGAATCTCGGATTGTAACTCTACAGTGGACACATTATATTTTAGGGATGAAATATGTTAGGGGGTAGGGGCGACCTGAGGTTTCTACAATGAGGTTTCTACAATGAGTATACCCTTGACTTTTCCCTGATTACAGGAGTGGGGTGAGGTGGGGGTGGTGGGGTGAGGTGGGGGTGGTCGGCGACCTCAGACATCTACCCGTGAGTATACCTGTGATACCATAAGCTTGCATTCCAGCGAACTTTTCCAAATCCTGTTTTACAAAAAAAGCAAATTATGTTAAATATGACGGTACAAGCCTAAATCCACATTTACATAAAATGTATCTACATTTATAAACGTTAAGGTTTACAACCTTGTGAAGGGGATGTTTCATTCCAGTGAACTATTCCTTGGCTCATTATTACGTGGAGCTAGCATGTTGTGATCGTGTGTCAGGTCCACCAACACGACGGACGAGCTTGCGTGGGCCGGACTGTGGATGTACATGGCCACCAACAACAGCCAGTATCTCACTGACGCGCAGCAGTTCTACCAGAACGGTGCATGCTGGGGCATGTCATGGGACGACAAACAAGCAGCCAATCAGGTGCAACTTCCGGCAACACATATATACTCACCGCCAAAAGAAACGCGAACCACGGAAACATTCAGAGAAGTTGGTTAGTTGGTTAAACCGCAATCAGCAATATTCCAGCTATATGGCGGTGTTCTGTAAATAATCAAGCCTGGACCAGACAATCCAGTAATTGATATCATGAACACCGATCCACGCAATTGGGATCGATGACATGCATCAACCAAGTCAGCGAGACTGACCACTCTAACCTGTGTTGATATGTTTACATCTATTGGTCATATCAACACAGGTTAGAGTAGACAGGTTCATCCATTCACACGAAACACAAATGAAAAACTGACAGCGTTTTTGGATGAGTAATCTAGACCCATTTTGGAATATACTGTGTTGAAAAACGAACATGTTTCTTAAACGTTTCTCTTTACGTATCTTTAAGCATCTCCGAACTTGTACACAGCAGACGTAGCAAGAGTCTAATCTTAGACGCTATTATAAAAATATACCTTTCCTTTTTGACGTAAAGTTCAGTGACTTCACAGTCTGTTATTGTTCACGTTGCATGGATGGTTTGGTTTGGTTTGTTGTTTAACGCCGCACTCAGCGATAAACCAGCTATATGACGGCGGGCTCTAAATAATCGAGTCTAGACCAGACAATCCAGTGATTGACATCATGAGCATCGATCCACACGCAAGTGGGATACGATGACATGCATCAACCAAGTCAGCGAGCCTGACCACCCTATCCCGTTAGTCGCCTTTTACGACAAGCATAGTCGCATTTTACGGCAAGCATGGGTTGCTGAAGACCTATTCTACCCCGGATCTTCTTGGATATGCATGGAAGGGGTTAGCTTCTCGACAGGGTGATTTAAATCGAAGACACTTCAGATGAATGTTATGTAGGGATGATAATGAGTGCATTCTAGTATGTTACGTATTCTTGTCTTTGTAAACGTCAAAGCCAGACAATCACCCATGGATAGATCCCCTAGGACGTAAACGGTAAAAGGTGATGATAATCATAGGAAAGTGTCACTAAAAATAAGTGAAAAGGGTAATCATGTTCTGCTCTATCGCGAGAGCACAATTTTCATTATAAACGTAAGTACAAGTGAGTAAGGTAGTGTGAAAGCTCATGAACAGCATGGGATGTGTCATGTTCAGCAAGTTCCTCTTTTAACATTGGATGTTTTCAGTTTCTGTTCTACAAGTTGCTTGGAGACGACAAATACAAGCAGGACATCGAGGACACCTTCCAGCACTACTGGTTCCCCGGGCAGGTCATCAAGTACACACCCAAGGGCTTGGCCTGGCGCCTACAGTGGGGCTCACTCCGATACGTCTGTGAGTCACGTAGATTAGTTGGAGACATTTTCGAGTGGTTTAACACCTTGAGTGAAATCGTTGTCCACTGCAGCGAGCCATGAGGTCATGCATTTGTAAAGGACAGCTTTGAGCTTTTAGAACTAATAATTAAGCTTTCCTAAATGTTGTGTTTGTTTGTTGTTTAACGTTGCAGTCAGCAATATTCCAGCCATATGACGGCGGTCTGTAAATAATCGCATCTTGACCAGACATAAGCATCGATCAAATGGGATACGATGACATGCATCAACCAAGTCAGCGAGCCGGACCACCCGATCCCGTTAGTCGCCTCTTACGACAAGCCTTGTCGCCTTTTACCACAAGAATGGGTTGCTGAAGACCTATTCTTCCCCGAATCGTCATTGGTCCCTAAATGTTATGACTTCTACACCTGAAGGTGAACTTTGATATTATCTTGTGTTACTTTGGTAGATCGAGGTTCTGTAAAGACTTGTCAGAAAGGAGAATAACACATGGCGAGTAAATAGTTAACTATCATCCGAATGTACTTAGCGTGTTACGTTCACCACTATCGGTTGACGTGATCAGGACCCGATTTACTTCAATGCCGTCAAAGTCTTGAGGTTCATTGGAAGTATAGCGGTTGGTCGATCATCTGTCAGCAATTCAATGTCCCAGCTTATCCAAATCCTGCGGGTTTTCGTTTAAAGATGTAGGTCCCCATCAATATTCCTGTCGTAACAGGTGACTCAATGGATGGGGGTCAGGGTCACTGACGAATGTCATCTTTCCAAATTGCGTAGGTCGATGCTGATGATGTCAAAAACGGGATTGTCTGATCCAGACATGATTATTTACAGATCGCTATAGATGGAAAACTGGAAAGTGCGGCGTTAAACAGTGAGTGAGTGAGTGGGCTTCACACATTGTACCCATGTCGGGAATCAAACCCGGGTCTTCGGCGTGACGAGCGACCGCTCTAACCACTAGGCTACCCGACCGCCCCCGGCGTTAAACAAAACCACAAACAATTCCCAAGTATTCAAAGCCCAAGGCATGTGATCGATATGGTGTCGGTGTCGCTTTCTGCTCTATGTTTAAGTGGACACGTCTCCTTAACATTAACATGTAACACTTCTAGGTGTGCTGTAGTCATATACGTGCGCTAGATGCATCCATCACAGCATAAAGAGGATAATCCACCGAGTAAAATATCTTGAAAGCATTAACGGTATGGTATTTGTTAACTCGATATAGATAGACAGAGCAATGTTTATACTCCCATAGACAGATTATGAAAACCAAAATAAATTAATATAAAATTAAGAAACATGTGGACAATTTCTAACATATTCTGTACAAGTCACGTATATAAACACAGCTTAAACGTTTTTAGTGTTTGGCGTCCATCAAGATGCAGTTCCTGTGTGCAATAACGCATGGATCAATGGAATCAAATCGCTACAATTATATACCTACTTAGAATAAGCATACTAATTTGACAGTGTGTGGCCTACTTATGAATGTAAATATTGAAGGACTACTTCCCTCTATCTGTACAAGTGACCCGTGAAGATCCGGGGAAGAACAGGTCTTCAGCAACCAATGCTTATCGTAAAAGGCGACTATGCTTGTCATAAGAGGCGACTAACGGGATCGGGTGGTCAGGCTCGCTGACTTGGCTGATGCATGTCATCGATCCCAACTGCGTGGATTGATGCTCATGATATCACTCACTGGATTGTCTGGTCCAGACTCTATTATTGACAGACCGCCATCATGTAGCTGGAATTGTGCTGAGTGCGCCGTTAAACAACAAACAGACAAACAAACCAAATCTCTGTATCAGAAATCAATGTCCTAAACAGTGTATACTGTCAAGTAAATACTGTCAAGTATCATGGTTGTCAAGTAAATACTGTCAAGTATCATGGTTGTCAAGTAAATACTGTCAGGTTTCATGGGATCATCCTAGCGGTGAGGAGTATTGTACAGATTGCTTAACGACTCATTTTGACCTTTCATTCTGCCCCATAAAATGTGTCTTCAAAAGACAAAACCTTTCCACTACAATTGTGTGACATTTGTACATGTAAATTGATGCCCTTTGGGGAAAATCGTTATTCTCATATATCTGTTAGTCCAGGGCCTCGCCGTTCTGGTCAGTGTGTTATGTAAATGGGTTTGCCATGAACGTACAGAGGGTATGTTTGCTTGAACTTAGCTGAACGCAGAGTTAGGAGTGGGATGATACGTTTACAATCCACTTGTGAAAAATCCTGTGTTGATTGTTTCATGATTAATATATTATTATTTCTAATAGGAAAGGAGATATGCGTGATGACATAACTGCGTATGGGTTGATTCAGTTTATTTTTCTCTCGCAGTACAGAGCAAAACAAACACCCATACACAAAGGGGAATGAGATAAGTAACTTGTACTTGTACACTGGGGCAGAGAAATGTTTAACTTTGAAATTCAAAAGGGCGTTTTAGTGAAATCAAATATTATCGAATATGCAAATATCACACGATAAATATTAGTATTATGTATAAACATGCATTCGGCAAGTTTATGTCCACACTTATATGTCAACTGTGCAAATGTAAAACAGGCATGTAACAACCAACAACCGTGTTGTTTAACGCCGCGCCCAGCAATATTCCGGCCATTGTATGGCGGCACTGGAAATAGTCGAGTATGAACCAGACAATCCAGTGATGGACATCCTGAGCACCGATCTGCGCAATTGTGGCACGATGTCATGCATCCAAGTTAGCGAGCCTGACCACCCGATTTCGTTGGTCACCTCTTTCGACAAGCATAGTCGCCTTTTACGACAAGCATGGGTTGCTGAAGATCTATTCCACCCCGTATCTTCACGGGTCGACAAGCAGAATATGACTAACGTCTTCCTTAAGCACACGTGTATTCTGACTGTAAACTACTCAATCGCAACGCAGTAGAGAAGTACGGAGCGACTTAAAGTACGGTCCCAACTGCCACAGGAGAATTAAGAGACTCAAGCGATTGTGTGTGACGACGGTTTTGTTTGACGCCACTGATATGTAAATAATTGCATTATTTTTGCAGCAAATATGGCCCTTGTTGCTTTGATGGCTGCCGACGAGGGACTTTATCCCGATGAGTACCGGAAGTGGGCTGTGTCCCAGATCCATTACGCTCTCGGGGACACTGGCTTCAGTTACCTCATCGGATATGGAGACACTGATTTCCCGCACAGTCCTCATCACAGATCTAGGTTCGTTTGTTCTTGTTTAATATTCCAGCTAGACGGCGGTCTGTAAATAATCGAGCCTGGACCAGAAAATTCAGTGATTAGCATCATGAGCATCGATCCACGCAATTGGGACACGATGACATGCATCAACTAAGTAAGCGTGCCTGACCACCCGATCCCGTTAGTCGCCTCTTACGACAAACATAGTCGCCTTTAACGACAAGCATGGGTTGCTGAAGAGTTATTCTATCCCGGCTCTTCGCGGGTTCATTTGGAGAAGTATCTAGTCGTCTCTTCACGGGTACATACACGTATTTCTGTTTAAGATCAAAGAGTTATCAAATTATGTTTCCTGCCTTGTGTAAAGTATGTTTTGAACAATATGAGTATTTTGCATAAAATAGAAACATAAAATCCATTTGCTTTTCATGGTAAGTAATATCTTTCTGTGCCAAATCCACGTATAAGCGTTGAAGATTCATCACATGTGCTTAACTGCAACCGTTATTGACAATGAGGCGAAAATAACGGTCTGATATCTCAGTGCAAAACAAATAATACTTATATTTTGTCATTGATGATACTTGCAACATTGTTCAAAGTAGGTATAAGAAAACTACCCCCTTCCAGCATACATACGAATAATATAATATATTATGATGAACCTCCACAGCCTTGTAACAGACCGGTTTGACCTTTGTACTCTGTCCGTCCCCCTGAAGTGTCCCAAAATGCATTTCTCCGCTCTATTAACATCGTCTCCCCAGAAAGCACAATTTACAAAAAGCTATTATGTAAACATCTTCTATGGTGAACTTGTCAGTGTGAGGAATCTTTGTCATGTTACTTCTTGTCGACCCGTGAAGATCCGGGGTAGAATAGGTCTTCAGCAACCCATGCTTGCCTAAAAGGCGACTATGCTTGTTGTAGAAGGCGACTAACTGGATCGGGTGGTCAGGCTCGCTGACTTGGTTGATGCATGTCATCACATCCCAATCGATGCTCATGATATCTAGGTTCGTGCATATCATCGTTTCCCAATTGCATGGGTCGATCCTCATGATATTAAACACTGAATTGTCGATTATTTACATTCCTCCGTCATACAGCTGAAATATCTGAAACAAAAACGTCCTGTCGTTACTTCTGTTTCGTCGAAACCTATGGAATATGGTGTTCGTTTTTGACTCCTCGGCATGTATGTAAAACATATTTGGATATCAATTCTGACAGCAGCATTTGTTTAACTGTACAGTGAGGCCCGTTCATCCGGATGGACCCTTTTCAGAGCAATGCTCTGGATTAATTGTTGTCTGGATTAACGAAATGCCTTTGTATACTAATATATACACTCTCTTGATGGCGTTTTTTATATAACCTACACACATCATTGTAACACAAACGTCGGTCTGTATCCAAATATATTAACTCCACACAGCTCCTGTCCGTGGGCACCGGCTCCCTGTGGTCCGTTCGTGATGTCCAGCCATAAACAAAATGTCCATACGCTGTTCGGAGCTCTGGTAGGAGGGCCTGACGACAGTGACGGCTATAAGGACGACCGCTCCAACTACGTCAACAACGAGGTGGCCTGTGACTACAACGCCGGCTTCCAAGCAGCCGTTGCAGGTGCGTGACACAGATGCTTTAGGAAAGATGAAGACAAGCGTGTACTGCTCTTCACCTTAAAACATCAGTTTTCATTTAATCACATGCTAATGCTAGAGACAACATTAGTTTATGCCAGAACAACCTCTTTTTGTAACGACGTTCGTTGTCTGTGTGCTATAACGAAGGGGACACATGCTTATATGGTTTATATCAGGACAATGTGCGACATGAAATAAATTCAAAAAGGTAAAAGTAGGTTAGATAATTTTTTGCAAAATCTATGTTAAAGTTTTAATGATTCAGAGGATTTAAAATTCAAGTCAACGAATAACAGCTCAAATCGTTACATTTTATACCATTTAATTCATTTGAAGGTATGAAAATGTGCTAAATGAAAAAAACCCAGTTAATTTCATTAACTCTAAGGTTTGCCGCATTGTCACACTTGTAGGTCTTTGCTATATCAGAAGCGCATAAGTGAAGCATTAGTTTAAGGATATCAGAATATTTACGATTCATTTTTGTATTAATTTCTTTTGCTGTTATGTTTGTTATATTTCTTATGTTTGTTGTTGTTTCTTGTTGTTTTGGGGGAGGTGTTTTTATTTTTGGAGATAATTTGTTTTGTTGTTTAAGGGTAGTTGTGTTTTTTTGGGGGGGAGGGGGGTGGGGGATGGGGAGGGTGGGTGGGTGGGTTATATTTTTTTAATCTCACATATTTTTTTTAAAATTAGATTATTCCCTTACCCATGCTTTGTTGTCCAAAGAGTCGTTTCGCACAATCTTTTCAACGTGACAACGGAACAACCTAATAAGTTTACATGCGTTCATCTCACGTGCACCACTCGGGGGCGTTATACGGTTTCGGACATTAGGTTAGGAATGCCGGTGCCAACAGTGACAGATGCATAACGAAGTTCCAGGGGACGTGTACTAAAGCGGTCTGCACTACTAAGAGCTCACTATAGTTCGCACTATGTACACACTTCTCACACAGAGGGTAAATGAACTGCGAATACTCGTGATAATGCATATTTAATAACTAAGACCAAAGTATTAATAAGGAAGAGAATTTATGGATGTCAACTTTTCGGAACACAACGCTTCGGAGTATATGCTTCATCAGGTGAAGGAGTAAGCATATCAGGTGAAGGAGAAAGCATATCAGGCGAAGCAGTAAACATATCAGGGGAAGGAGTAAACATATCAGGCGAAGGAGTAAACATATCAGGGGAAGGAGTAAACATATCAGGGGAAGGAGTAAACATATCAGGAGTAAACATATCAGGGGAAGGAGTAAACATATCAGGGGAAGGAGTAAACATATCAGGTGAAGGAGAAAGCATATCAGGTGAAGGAGTAAACATATCAGGGGAAGGAGTAAACATATCAGGGGAAGGAGTAAACATATCAGGGGAAGGAGTAAACATATCAGGGGAAGGAGTAAACATATCAGGGGAAGGAGTAAACATATCAGGAGTAAACATATCAGGGGAAGGAGTAAACATATCAGGGGAAGGAGTAAACATATCAGGTGAAGGAGAAAGCATATCAGGTGAAGGAGTAAACATATCAGGTGAAGGAGTAAACATATCAGGTGAAGGAGTAAACATATCAGGCGAAGCAGTAAACATATCAGGTGAAGGAGTAAACATATCAGGCGAAGGAGTAAACATATCAGGTGAAGCAGTAAACATATCAGGCGAAGGAGTAAGCATATCAGGTGAAGGAGTAAGCATATCAGGGGAAGGAGTAAACATATCAGGGGAAGGAGTAAACATATCAGGGGAAGGAGTAAACATATCAGGGGAAGAAGTAACCATATCAGGGGAAGGAGTAAACATATCAGGGGAAGGAGTAAACATATCAGGCGAAGGAGTGAGCATATCAGGCGAAGGAGTAAACATATCAGGTGAAGGAGTAAGCATATCAGGTGAAGGAGTAAACATATCAGGTGAAGAAGTAAGCATATCAGGTGAAGGAGTAAGCATATCAGGCGAAGCAGTAAACATATCAGGGGAAGGAGTAAACATATCAGGTGAAGGAGTAAACATATCAGGTGAAGGAGTAAACATATCAGGTGAAGGAGTAAACATATCAGGTGAAGGAGTAAACATATCAGGTGAAGGAGTAAACATCAGGTGAAGGAGTAAACATATCAGGCGAAGGAGTAAACATATCAGGCGAAGGAGTAAGCATATCAGGTGAAGGAGTAAACATATCAGGTGAAGGAGTAAACATATCAGGTGAAGGAGTAAACATCAGGTGAAGGAGTAAACATATCAGGCGAAGGAGTAAGCATATCAGGTGAAGGAGTAAGTATATCAGGCGAAGCAGTAAACATATCAGGCGAAGCAGTAAACATATCAGGTGAAGGAGTAAACATATCAGGCGAAGGAGTAAACATATCAGGTGAAGGAGTAAGTATATCAGGCGAAGCAGTAAACATATCAGGCGAAGCAGTAAACATATCAGGTGAAGGAGTAAACATATCAGGCGAAGGAGTAAACATATCAGGTGAAGCAGTAAACATATCAGGCGAAGGAGTAAGCATATCAGGTGAAGGAGTAAACATATCAGGTGAAGGAGTAAGCATATCAGGTGAAGCAGTAAACATATCAGGCGAAGCAGTAAACATATCAGGGGAAGGAGTAAACATATCAGGTGAAAGAGTAAGCATATCAGGGGAAGGAGTAAGCATATCAGGTGAAGCAGTAAGTATATCAGGTGAAGCAGTAAGTATATCAGGCGAAGGAGTAAGCATATCAGGTGAAGCAGTAAGTATATCAGGCGAAGGAGTAAGCATATCAGGGGAAGGAGTAAACATATCAGGGGAAGGATTAAACATATCAGGTGAAGGAGTAAACATATCAGGTGAAGGAGTAACCATATCAGGTGAAGCAGTAAGCATATCAGGTGAAGGAGTAAACATATCAGGTGAAGGAGTAACCATAAGAGGTGAAGCAGTAAGCATATCAGGTGAAGGAGTAAACATATCAGGTGAAGGAGTAAACATATCAGGCGAAGGAGTAAACATATCAGGGGAAGGAGTAAACATATCAGGGGAAGGAGTAAACATATCAGGCGAAGGAGTAAACATATCAGGCGAAGGAGTAAACATATCAGGGGAAGGAGTAAACATATCAGGCGAAGGAGTAAACATATCAGGGGAAGGAGTAAACATATCAGGGGAAGGAGTAAACATATCAGGGGAAGGAGTAAACATATCAGGGGAAGGAGTAAACATATCAGGCGAAGGAGTAAGCATATCAGGCGAAGGAGTAAGCATATCAGGGGAAGGAGTAAGCATATCAGGGGAAGGAGTAAGCATATCAGGCGAAGGAGTAAGCATATCAGGGGAAGGAGTAAGCATATCAGGGGAAGGAGTAGGCATATCAGGGGAAGGAGTAAGCATATCAGGCGAAGGAGTAAGCATATCAGGTGAAGGAGTAATCATATCAGGTGAAGGAGTAAGCATATCAGGGGAAGGAGTAATCATATCAGGGGAAGGAGTAAGCATATCAGGGGAAGGAGTAAGCATATCACGGGAAGGAGTAAGCATATCAGGTGAAGGAGTAAGCATATCAGGTGAAGCAGTAAACATATCAGGTGATGGAGTAAGCATATCAGGTGAAGAAGTAAGCATATCAGGGGAAGGAGTAAGCATATCAGGCGAAGGAGTAAGCTTATCAGGGGAAGGAGTAAGCATATCAGGGGAAGGAGTAAGCATATCAGGCGGAGGAGTAAGCATATCAGGCGAAGGAGTAAGCATACACTCCGAAACGTTGTGTTGACATCCATACAACCTCTTCCTTATGTGCATCACTTCTAAATGCCTTTCAAAGACTTGAAAGTATAAATAAATGCATAAATAGAGCTATGAAATCAAAGGTTGTGAATGCAAGTGTCATATTTGTGGAATGTGTGATAACTGTATGAATATATGTAATCAAACTATGTTTGGGGATCTACTTGTGACTGGGGCTTTGTTTATATTTCAGGTCTCAAGTCTCTCGTCTTTAGAAAACTTCACCCAGAACAGACATCCGGTGGCTCAGCATAGATGTAAGATCTGAATAAACCCGCAAATGTAATGTTGTTATTTATTTACGTGTGTCTATATAATACCTTGTTTTCAAGGATATTTTACAATCGTTCATGGATTTATAATTCAAACGTATAACGGCGACTAGGAAATCAAAATAATCATAGTAAAACATATGCAAGCGTCCGAATCAATGAATGTGTCATTGATAGCTACACCTTGAAGTTTGAAATGGACGAGAAGGGTTTCGTGCAAAATTACATGCATAGTCTGATCCTCGAAACGGTGATTTTAACTGATTTTGTCTAAAATAGCATAAACCATGACACAGACATCGATACTTCTTTTTAACGTGTCCTGCATTTTACTGGATGCCGCATTCATACTCAAAAAGAGTAAAACGTCTTAATGGGCGTTTAAGGGAAAGAGTACGGCTCAGTGACACTTTCGTAAACAGATGCACGAACAACTCTTCACAAGGTTTAGATCAGGTAAGAAATCAGATAAATTAGTCCCTTATAAATGACGTAATGATTATAAATCGCACATGAGATCTAAAAGTTGCTCCTGCAGATTAAAACAGGTCGACATTCCAGAACATTCTAAAAAGCAAATTATTTTGTAAATAAATAAACCCCATGTGTAATCACAAATGTTATCAATCACAAATTAGCACTGGAGATTGGTTTAATTATTTTACATGTTTGTTGAGGGAGACAAACTCCACGTGAATGATAATAGCCACACTGCAGACCACAGAATCGATTCCCTGTATCTTCTATGCAGGTATCAGGTATCAGGCGATATATAAATTAACTATTAACCGCAAAAAGCCTTCTGTCATAGGATAAACAGTATATTCAATAGATTTCAACTTGTGCAACATCGCACGTGGCTTCGCCCGAAAAATAGAGTAAATGAAATTGGAAACCTTTAGACCCAATATCCCTCGGGACGGGTAAACATAGCATTTCTTTCTGCATCGCTGCTTGTTCTTAAATGTTTGATGGTATTCGATTGATCTACAGTTATACTCTTAAAATTACCGTGTCTCGTTTGAAAGGAATTCCAATGATACGTTTCTTCATTGAGGTAATTAAATAAAACGCTTAAAAATGCCCATTGTGCAAGGCTCCAGTGCGAAGCGATATCGTCATCGGACCATTATCAGGGCCACGTCAGTCCGAAGATGCCATGCCTGCTTCCACAACCGGAACTACATGCCAGTCCCCGCTGTGGCATGGATATACAATTATTTCTGTTGCTATGGTTACAAGTAGCCAGTATCGGAACTCTCCAAAGTATATCTAGCAAGACAAGGGTCGGAGAGGGGGACATATACTCACCGCCAAAAGAATCGCGAAACAGAGACATATAGGGAAGTATGTTAGTTGAGAAGAGATATTTCCAATGTGTACCAATTAATGACAAAACTAACAATCAGTCAGGTGTATTAATCTCGCGAGAGCCCTTGACTCGGCGTGTATTATGACACGAACGAAATTATCTCCCCTGAGTAGCAGAGCACTGTCAACAAAAGCTCCGAGAAAGGTGAAAAATTGATCATTCTAAGGTGAGAAAAGCCAACAAACCCGACAAAACAACACCATGGGAGTTCCAATCGAGATTTGGCGAGCAAAAATTGGAAGATTCCAGCCTCCAAAAGGGCTATAACGGGTAGGAAACATTCAACCCTACAACCCCATGTCGGACTGGACGCCACGTATGGCGGTTGCCTACAGACTTCTGTTGTGCGGGACTGTATTACTAAGTGTGGTAGGTTTAGGATCTGCTACAGCAACATGGATACAAGACATATCGCCTACGCTGATCCCTCCTACATTGTGTTTGCATGGCTTACAGAGTGAGAGTTTACATACTTTTTCAACGACACTGGCGACGGGTACATTGTTTACATACCGAAAACAGGACATATGCAATGTAGATACTCTCCCTGGTAATACGTTCATACCATCAATGATACATACATCAGGAGACGTAGAACTAAACCCAGGGCCAACGAGTGAAGAACTAAATGAATTAAAAACAGCGATCATCGACCAGATTAAGAATACGGAGGATAAACTTTCCAAAGACATCAGATCTATTAAAGAGAACATAAAATCCATGAAGGCCGATATCAGCGAGTTGAGGTCAGAGGTAAACTCAACTAAAGCTGTACAAGAGATAATGAGAATTGACATTGATGCACTAGGTGTAAGGGCAGAGGAAGTAAAAAGTTACTATCGGGACCTAGAAGCTCGATTAGAAGACCAGGAAAGGAGAAGCAGGCGAAACAACATTATTTTATACGGTATTCCGGAGAAACAAGACGAAAAATACACTGAAAGCAAAGACAAGGTACTCGAAGTCCTAAATAGTGCCAGACTACATAAAAGTCTACAACCACTAGCTGCAAGAGACATTGAAAGGCACATCGTATCTCTACTAAGAATCCCAATAAGACAAGGCCAATTATTGCTCAAATGTGTAACTGGGAGGACCAATGGCAGTCTGTGAAAATGAGGGAAGTCCTCAGAGAGAAAGGAGTTGGTATAGCCAACGACCTGACCAACACACAGAGACAGGAATTGCTTAGACTCAGAGCCGAGAATCCAAATATCAGGTATTATTATAAAGGAAATAAAATTGTAGAGGTGGCTAAGGAGGAGAACATACAGATAGGGCACAATAGAACACCTCGCGACCCACACAGGAACGTTGACACTGGTGTGGAACATCAACGACGAACTACAACTGGATCACCACGACTGACCAGACCCAACTCCCGCCCGTCCTACAGGGGACATACCCGATAGGAATGGGGCCAGGGTCATGTTAGAGACAGCACCCGATATTATATGACTCTTCATGATGCCATAAAAACAGACACTTGTGATAAATCTGAGGACTTGTTTGTGAATTTTATATTTTGGAATATTTCCGGTATTTCAGAAAAATTAACAGAAACTGACTTCTTGAACTACATAAAGTCGTTCGACGTAGTTGGAATAACTGAAACATGGACTAACAGTTTTGACCTACAATATGCTTTCCCAGATCATAAAGTTATTACTAAGGATGCTGATAAAATATCAAAGAGTGGAAGACATTTGAGTGGGACCTATTATTGATAAAAAGACAGTTCTCCAAATTTGTAAAATGGTACAAAATAACAGAAAACTCTGTTTTTATATTATTTGACAAAACACTTTTTAGTCTCGATTCTGATTTATTATATTCATGTTTGTATGTCCATCCAGAAGGGTCAACCTGGTATAACAAACTTGGCTTGTATTGCAAAAATGGAATAACAATATTCCAAGATATTGGACTTATAGACATCCTATCTAATCTCCCGAATGTGTTTATTTTGTGTGGTGGAGATTTTAATGCTCGTACAGGCACCAAACCCGATTTTGTTGAGGACGACATAATTGACCGCACTGAAAGTCAAAATCACTCCTTTTGGGATTTCCTTCTTGATTATTTTAACGTCCAGCGATTCTCAGCTGACAAAATTGTGAATAATTTCGGTAAATGTCTGTTAGATCTTTGTTCAGTGTTACATGTTCATATTATGAACGGACGATGTGGCACAGATTCCCAAGTGGGAGATTATACGTTTATATGTGCAAATGGCGCAAGTGTAATTGATTATGTTATTGCCTCATCATCGCTTTTCGAGTACACGAATGATTTTACGACACCGTCACATACTGAATCGACACATCTTCCGCTCACACTGAAATTACGCTCACCTCACGCGTGCCGACAATTATCCGATGAAAGTAAATGTTATAGGTCGTTTAGGTTTGTATGGGATTACGACAAAGTGGAGCTCTTTAGACAAAACTTTTTAACAGATAGTGTCCAAAAATTTCTCAATAAATCTGTCGAAATAGCGTTTACCAATATTGATAGCAGCGTAGAATATATCGTAGAAGCTATATATGTTTGGCTTGTGCCGATATGAAACGACAAGCCCGTAATGTAAAATCAGATGTTGTTGTTAATAAATGGTTTGACGCTGAGTGTGAGAGATTGAAAAAGGGGGGTCTCCTCACTTTACCACCACCTATTGTTTGGAATAGGTGATGCAGTCATGTGTGGTGATTGGTAGAACAATGAGAGTCACCAGGGCTCATCTCAACATTTTATTGCACATTAGTAGATAACTACACATGTTAAACTGGTCTGAAGAGAATCTGGTTTGTAGACCAAACCGTTGGACATTTCTCCAGATGGCTTGTCTATAGTGGAAAAGACAACCTTTAAGTTGGCATTGGAACACATTCACAGCAGCATTTTAGGCAGCAACTTCAAAGTCGGTCATCATATAGTTGGGTTGCAGATTAACATGACACTTCTGCTTTACAATAATAAATAATGTTATAGATGTAGATTGTTTCTTATCAGACAATAGCGCATAGACCAGGGGGTACATTTTCTGACCTACAAAAGCATGGAAAGTGTACAGTTGGGAATACAATTTCGGACAAATATTGAAAGTGGTATCAGCTGCTGCAAGGTGCTCTAAGTTGGATCTAGTTGAGAAAATCAGCATATTGTCGTCGGAATGGAGTAGGAAGTTGTCGCCACCGGAGGTCTTGGTATAGATGTCTGGAAGGTCGATCTCCGAGCGTTGACGTGGTAGAGGCGGAAATTCCTTGGCCCTGGCACGGTAGAGACTGGATTGGACGCTGTAGAAGGTTGGCGCTTCTGCTATCACATCTGCTTCATCTCTCCGCAGTTCTAAAATCAGACAAAACCCAGATTAAGTTAATTAAGACAATACTTAAGACACAAATACACATTACAAATGTTTGATATCTTTGAAATATTAAGTAAATAAAATTATGGACATTATAATAAGAGGTAAGCTCAACTCATGCATACCATTTAAATCTGAGAGGTAAATTGAAGGAATGGATCTGCTGTCCTTCTTAACCATGTTCTTCACTGAGGCGATAAACTTATCAACAGCAATTTTGGTATGGTTTGCGTCGTGGTTGTGGATGTTGTTGACTGTGGTGATGTAGTCGTTCG